GCTCAAACGCAAGATCTACCCCTTACCAGGCTGATATTTTATACCAGTTATACAACAACAGAAATAATAACTGGGTTAATTAATAATAATATTAACTGGGTTTAAGACTTTCTAAGGATATATGGTAAGTATACTTACCACCAATTGCATTAATTTTTATATGTCCATGGTAAGCTATTTTACTACTTTTTATTTGTGTCACCATCTATTAATAAGTTCAGAAATTTTTACAAATTTATAAACCCTTACACTTTTTGTTACTAACACAATACATTTTATTTTCTCGTAGATCTGGTAAGTTTCAATTTCTTTATTTTGTGGAAATTATGTTGAAGAGATATGGTTTCTCACGACCAACTAGGTTTTGGTCTACAGCTAGCATGCCTATTGATTTCAGGATTTTCAAGTCGAAAAAAAAAATGAAGGGGATGACCCATAAATTCCCTGGGCAATAAAAAAAATGGTTCCAGACGAAGTGAGATTGAATAAAGTTAGTAATCATATTCCAATTTTAGGGAGTACACGCAGGCGCTATCGTTTGGGCCTCTACTAAGGCACATCAAAATAGAACACGACATGTGTGCCCAACTTATGATGCCCCGTTATACGTATTTACATGTTTTCCAAAATTTCATGGAAAATAATATTTTAATTTGTCATCTACAAATAAAAAAGCTATAGTGTTCGATTTTTCCTCCAGTTTGTAGTATTTAAGAAATATGTTTTTTAAAAAAATTAATTAATTATAGTTTTAAAAAACTAAAAAACACGCTTTTATGGTTAATTAAACTAAAAAGTAAAAAAATAATTCTTAATATAAGAATAAAACAATTTACGAGAAAATTAATGTCATTGGGGTAAAAGCGTGGGGTGCTCTATATTAATTGCTATAATTTCTTATTAGTTCTATTCCGAAATGCTGACTTAGTATAAAAATTTAGTACAAAGCACACACACCCCAAGCTTTTATCACACACACACACACAATGGCATTATAATTTTCTCGTAAATCGTTTTATTTTTAAATTAAGAATTATTTTTTCACTTTTTAGTTCGATTAACCATAAAAACATGTATTACTTTAAGCTTTTTTAACTATCATTTATTCATACACTTTTTTTTTTTTAATTTTTGGTCCGAGACCGAAAAAGTTTGCTCATTCTCCTGAGTTAGAACAAATTATTTTTTTTCACATCCACGAGTAATTTTTTTCCCATTTTCCTTTTCAGAAATACTGGGCAATTGCTTATATTATTATAAGAAATTGCTGACTCAAGAAAACGTTTTCGCTTTTAGGGTTACTCTTAATCTTTTAGTCACCAAATCTGGAAATGAGATCTAGAATTAGTCGCCAAATCTGGATATGGTGTATAGAATTAGTGGCCAAATCTGGTAATGGTATATGGAATTAGAATGAAAATGGTATAATGAATTAGTCGCCAAATCTGAAAATGGTATAAGGAATTAGTCGCCAAATCTTAAAATGGTACAATGAATTAGTCGCCAAATCTGGATTATCCGGTCTCCTGATTTTCCTGTTCCAATGGAACAAAATTATGAAATTATTGTATTGTCATCGGTCCTTGACAAGTGTTCAAAACTTCGAATTAATCTGACCTTTTAAAGTGGGTGAAAATCGAGTTCAATGATTCCATTACATACAAATGAAACTTATAAAAGCGTGTTAAAAAAAAGCATTAAGTTTCCTACTTTTTAATATCCCCCAATGGGCGGGGGTAAGTATACTAACCACCAAAAAAAATGTGATGCCAAAATTCAAATTAATTTTATCTAATAAGCTAAGTGAATTTTTTCCCCTCAAATCAGTCTCAATTCCATAATATTTTAAATCCCTTTATTGAAAATAAATGGCACACGCGTTAAAGGGTTCAAATAATAAAAATAATTATATCAATTATTTGCATTATTGATTTTTAGTAATAGTTATTCATTTGGAAGTATTCTAATTTTTCCATGGATATGTTTTCAGTTGTTCGCAGTAGGTACACATTTTAATAAAAAATTTTATATTCATATTGATGTTTTTAAATTAATTTCGCACAATATGGAAACGAAATAATTTTTGTTATACAATATTAGTAATTTTTTTAATGTATTATGAGTAATTTTTCATTAAATTGATGCTTAAAAAATAACACAAAATAAATGTTAATGACATGCTGCTAAATAAAGAATGAAAACAGCCTCTTTCCAATTACACATTCTCCTCCACCACCTCCCTCTCTTTATTTTTATTTGAACACATTTTGCATTTCTACATGAAACATCTGGTTATACACTAACATACGTCATTTCAAAATAATCAATGCGTGTGACGTCATATCGTGTAAGCCTCAAAAGGACTGCAGTTGGTGACATTTTCCAGAATGAGGAAAGGGTATTGAATGTTTTTATACCCATGTTTTGACTGCAGATGGCGATTTTTGCGTTGACATGCTCAGAAAATCTGAGTACTAATAAAAGTTTTAACTCAGCAGTTATAATTAACAAAATTATATCAACTGTTTAGTTACTAGCTATCATATTTTTGTTTTGTTATTTTATTTTATTATACGTATTCAGTTGTTACATGAAGGTCCACTTATTTCTATTAAATCAATTTCAGTTACACAGCGCTTAATATTTCCAGTATTTTTACCACCGAGTGATCATTGTTTTAGGTACACCAAGACATTGTATCTGATCATTTTCCTGCTTTCCTCAGTGATGAGCTTATTTTCAAAGATATTACATTTCTTTTATAATTCGTATTGGATTAAAGAAAAACTCGAACAAAAATTCAACAGGTTTTTTTTTAATCAAACTTTTGATGTATTGTAGTAATGTATACAAAATCAGGAATTCAAGACAGAATCGAAATAGAATCAAATTATTAAGAATCTTACTATAGCTGTGAGATTAAGAGCTGTCTCTTCCTTATTTGACTTTTCTTCTTGGCATATTTTGGGGTGAAGCTATTTGTTCACATAAAATTTTTGCATAAGACAGCTGGTTTGACGGTAATTATTTGGTGAGGTCGCCAATACAGCAACCCTGTAAATGAAACATAATAAATAGTGGGTTGTCATGCGTAGTCAAAAACAAATTGTATTGTTTGACTTAAGAAGTATGTTGTTTTATCATTTACTTAAATATACATTAATCTTTTTAAAAATTTTATCACAGAAATTTTATTTTTAAAAAAACCATACATTTACATATATCATATATTCTTTTGGTCAACTTTCAACAATAATTGCTGAAACTATTTATTTAAGACTTCATTTTTATTTTTGGTTTCTGTATTCACTAAAAAATATTATCAAAGAAAGCGACAGACACCCGGAAACTCTGCTAGGGTTCATTTTATTATAAAAATTAATTTTTGGTGAAATTATTTAAAAATTTCTAAATGAAAAAAGGCGATTAATTGATAAAAGAAATTAACACAGGAAATTGAAAAAGGGTAAAAAATTATCATAAATGCTCAATTTATTTTACTATTTTTGAACTGAAAAAAAAGCCGGTAATAATCTAAGAAGTTAATTTTAGAACATAATAACTTTTTGAAAAGTTTTTATTTATAATGCTCTAAATTTGCATAAGCAATATTTGGTGAATATTATGAAAATTAAATTCCTATTATTTATTCCATGTATTCATTCTGAGTTTTAAAAAATTACCTGTGAAAAATTCTTCATTTCAACTTAATTATAATGCTTTGAAAAATATAATTTGTATCTTCTTGTTGCTTAACATTTGATTTATTTTTCTTAGTTCAACATGCTCAAACTTAGAGAAACGCGAAAATAAATCTTTATTTATACCAAAAAGATAACTAAATTCAGTGGAAGGAAAAAATTCTTTCTTTAAAGCTTTTTATATACTTTAAAAAATTCAAAACTTTAATCATCCTTCTAAATGTAATTCAATTTCGAACGTTCGAACTGGTTATCAATCACTCGAAAAATACTCTTTTCCTCGTCATGCTGTCATCTGTCATATTTGTGGAGAGAAAAAAAAGAACAAAAAAAAGTACAGGAAGTTAATCGGTTGAAGCAAATGCGGAAATATGAAATAATATATTCCCCTACTAATTTGCTTTTCAATTACTGACCGTCAGAGGTCGAAAAGTCTACTGCTGCCATAAAATATAAATAAATAATAAAAAAAGGCTTAAACCGGACGATTTCACGAACTATATCACATTTGGAACGCTTCGAATTGTACAAAGGGAAAAATGGGACTTATGCGGAGTTACTAACTAGACTGAGAAACTCGTAAAAAGAATTGGACAATGAATACAGCGTCAACTAAGCTATCTTCTTTTCAGAGTAGAATAAATTGTCATGGAAATATAGGCAGGACGATTTTTTTTATTCCAAAACGATTCTTCGAAAAATGGGCTATGAAAGGTTTCCACAGCAAACGATAATATTTCTAAAACTGGGATTAAGTTCTATTTTTTCTATTCTGTGATGTTTTCACCACATCCTTTGTTTTGATGAAATTGTAAGATATTTAACTGGATCAACACAGCTTCGTATATCATAAACAAGACCACTAAGAGCTTTTTTTAAAACTAGTTCACACAGATAATATACATGTCATTTTTCTGGGCGAATATAAGATTCATTTTTATGTTTGTATTTGTAAAATCTTTGTTCTAAATTTTTTAGAACTCTTATTTATTTCCTCTCGTGTTTTCATGCAAATTATGGGCAAGTAATATAAAAAAAAATTAGTCAATTCCTACTTAGATCAACAAAAAATTTATTTTAGTTACTTTTTATTAAATAATTACAATTAATATAAATATGTATATAAATATGACAGAATCACAATATTAAGTGGCAAAATAGAAAGTGATTTTCCATTTTCCTTTCCGTATATGGTATTGAACTATTATTTTTGTTTGCTGCTTTTTATTTATGAATTAAATTTAATTATTCCAATAAAATAGTATAGTAAAAAAAAAATCCCATTCTCAGAAATTAGGCCATCCCAGGTGGCATTCGAACCCACGTCCTCTGAATTCGAAGTTCCATGCACTATCCATTGCGCTACAGGGACACAACGAGTGACTTTCCTTTTTATATACGGTATTGAACTATTATTTTTGTTTCTTACTATTTATTCATTAATTCATGAATTAATATTTGAAAAAAATGTATTAACATCAAGTGCCATCCACTACAAGTTTAAGAAAATGTATTTGAGCTTGAGTGGATGAATAAAAAGTATTTTATTAACGATTGAAAATTTGAACAAGATATATATACGTAAATAAATGAATATATATAGGGAGAGTTGAACTATAGTAGAGTATAGGAATACTTGTGTAGGAATTGAAAAAAAGAAAATAAAAATGGCAATGAATTTGAATCCCTGTTTTGTTTTAAAAATTTGATTCCTGTTTTCTTGCATCCATTTATTATTGTATTGTTTAATAAATAAAATCGATATATGTTTGCAAATACTCGTAAATCTCATTTACTTTCGTCATTTATTTTTATTTCATCTATTTTCTAATTCCTTCCACAGCTTCCCCTTTAAAATATATTAGAGTCACTCAAATGTGACTTACTTTAGGAACAAAAACAAATCGATTGACGTCCGAAGCTAATCGATATATAGATCCAACCCTACTGTAATGAGTCATACATAATCTACTGTCATGTGTAGTTTCAGAGGTCTAGGAAATCATAAAATCAAATTCCGTATTCGATCTCTTTCAAAATGAATAGAATTTAGAATTACTTCTTTCTCATGAAAATTAGTCATTCTTTTCTGTATGAAAATAAAAATAATAAAATGCATTATTCTTCTCATCTGTTTCATTTTATAATAAAACTCTAATATATTTCGAATTTTTAAAGCGAAAAAAATGATTTTAACATTCCTTTAAACGATTTAGTTTTATAGTTTTTAATCATGCATATCTTTTCAACTGTGCGATATGTCCAGAATTCATTGAAATCATACGGTTGAAAAAGTTTCTCAACTTGAGCATTAACATAAAGTTGTAAGACAATTTTATATGTGGATATAGTGAAACGCAGATAAGGAACAAAAAAACTAAATATTGAAATTATAACAATTGTGGTTTTCATTGTGTACAATGGGTTCCACTAGTTTAGTTACAGATGTTAAATTAATGATTTCTCTTTGATACAAAAATATATATGTTAAGGATAAAATAATAAACCGATTTTTCTTAATAATAACACTTTTATCATTAATAATAAATAATTCTTTGACTTGACTATATCATACGTACCATAATCACATAATTATAAATATTTATGGAAGAAGACAAGCATGAATCAAAACCATTTGGACAATCTAAGAATTTCGATATATGTATATATTGTTACAAAATAATTGAAGTAGTGCGCTTTTCTGCCGGAAAGGTATTGTAGCTGGAAAGATGGTTTACAGGCAGAAATAATATTCCTTCAGTAATGTTAAGTAATAGTGACCTTGGAAACAAAACTAGATATCTCGAGAAGATTTAAGGGCACTATAAACTTTTAGAATGGTTCCGCTGTTTAATGTGAGGACAATGCAGAGAAGCAACATTTAAGTTAAAAATTTGACAGTGACTGTGCGTTTCATTTGCTTTACTTGAAATTGTGCTTAAGAATTTGAATTGTCATTCTTCTTGTTTTAATGACTTTTGAATCCGGCTATTGTGGCTTTTTATGTGTGTTGTTATTGTTTCCTGTTAAAAGTATATCTATTATATTTACTACAGAGTTCCAGAATAAATTTAGATTTACTTCTAATCAGATTGCCTGCTAGATATGAGTGGACCTTTCCTGAATTTCGAAGTTTGTTAATCATTTAATAATAACGTACTCAGAGATAGACTTAATTTCAGAGAATGAGTAACCATAATATTTCTGACTATCAAAATTGTTTTAATTTTGACGTAATTGATAAAAAGCTTATAATATATCAACAAAATAAACCCTAAGCAAATGACGAAAATAAATAAAACATATTTATTGCTGGAATTTACAGTTTTAATAAAGCTTCATCTTTGAAAAAGATATAAAAATTCTTATTTTGAAATTCATTTGATCTTATTAATTTATCTAATTATATTTGTGGCAAAAATAAGTAAAATTGTCCGTTAAACAATTATGAATAATTTCAGAGTAAAAAATAAGCGGTCATCAATAATGGAAAGTTTTTTAAAAATATGGCACGAAAATATTTTGAGCTCAGAAATTAAGAGCCCCAAAAATTCTTAACACTCTTCTCTTGCTTTGAAAAAATATAATTTTATAAACATAGGAAAACGAAGAGTTGAAATGAACAAATTATTCACCTACTGATGAATTAAAAAATCTGTGAATTTATAAATGTAATTTATATTTTGAATTACAATAACAGAATTGCATCTTCCGTGATAATATCTGCGATGAAACGCAGAATGTGCGCATTGCTATTTCCAAAGAATGCAACAAATGAAAGAAAACAAATGAAGAAATAAATATTAAAGAATATCGTCTCGATTTAACAATAGTTACATATCAGGAACACAAGTTTTATTTTGAAATACAAAGAAAAAAAGAAGTATCTTTTGAAAGAGAACACATTTCTATAACAACATTTAACTGAAACCTATAACACAATTTTTTTCATTAAAGTTCATAAAAAACTTCTTATCCATCTGCTGGTGAAATAGTTTTCGAAAGAAGAAATTTTTATTTTTTTGCATCTGTTGCTATTATTCGAAACATCCAAGAAAGTAAAAGCAATTTTGTCTAGAAACGTTATTCACGGCTACGGTTGCCATAGTTACGTCAGATGACGTCATAAGCGGGTCATTTATCTTCCTTTCCACGTAGAAATAGAGTCTACTAACAGAATTATGCAAACGATTCTTATTTATTTAGTAATTTTCTGGGATTATATTCTGTATTTAATAAGCCCACGCTAAATTACAGATAATCAGAAGTATGTGGATACTTGTCTATTTATAAAGGAAATATTTGGAACGCGTTTTCTCAGAGTTATTGACTAAAAAAGACATATCTGTTTCCTTGGGTTTATATGGGGAAAAAAAATAATTTATTCAAGTTCAGTTGTCATTTCGTTTCCTTGACGGTTGTTTTAACGATGGTTCAAGTTATGGAAAGAGGAGTGTTATTTCTTTCCTTGTACCAATAAATAACTTATATTTAAGAAATGATGTGCAATAAATAATTCGTTAAGATATTTTTCTATGATTAACATACTATAGCAAGGCTGTAAGCCATTGATTTGTGTCAATACTTAGTCGAAGATGTGTTTTAGCAAAGAAATGTATATTACACTGTCCCCCTTTTCAAAAAATAACAAAAAGAGCTAGATTTCTTCTTTTTTGATTACAGTTTTGTAGTTGTTTCTTATGCGACCTGATCTCGACTACGTTAGATCCAGGCCTACGAAATTCATCATAGCAAGAGGCTAGATGAATGTGTTTTGTTAGTCATAGCCTTGAGCACCATTCAGGTGACAGCGCTACTTAGCTTGGTTCCACCCCAATTTTGAGGGAGAACACCCTGGAGAGTCAGGGGCCTCCCACCTCTCTTCCCCTTCCACCAACCTCATAAGAGGACTGGCAGCTCGACGGCTATTTAGAGTACCTCCATGCCGCAGAGGCACTATACATTTGCAAACATCCATTCATTATTCAAGATCGAGCCAAGGTCCTACAGCACAGTAGTCAGCGTCACTAACCACTATATGGAATGGACAACTGTGCTTACAGTTATAATACTAATACCAAACACTAAATTTGATTCTATTGCTTTTATAAAAAATTGGGAATGTACACTGGCCTCAAAAAGTTAAGGTACAACCGGGTTTTTGTGTCTAATTTGCAAACGAATGAATGTAGAAACAAAAAATTTGGAGGATATGTGCATTAAATAGTTTTTTATTGAATGCGTCATAGAAATTTGTATAAGTGTATTGCAAAAACGATTTATAACAAAAAAAGCAATCTCTGCGGAAAAGTCCATTCTTGGAGAAAACAGCACATCACAGTGTTATGTGGTAAAATGGCATAAAAACAATACAAAAATGGGTTCTAATAAGGAATGTGTCCACCTTGAATGCATTGGCGGCATCGATTTCCCATGCTGTTTATTAAGTTGTCGGACACCGGAATAGGAAGCGAAGACCAGACACAGAGTAAGCCTTGTTTCAGCTCATGTAACGACCTTGAGGAGGATTTAAAGCAGCAACCTCTCTGCCAAGATAGTTCAAAGATGTTTCAGGTCTGGAGATCGAGCTGGCCATTCCATTCGTTCCAAACCGTGATCCTCCAGATACCCTCAACAATCCGAGCTCGGTGAGGTCGTGCATTATCATCCATCAGAATGAAGTCGTTACTAATAGCAGCAGCATATGGGAGGACATATGGATCAAGGATCTCATCCCGATATCTAAGACCAGTTACGGTTCCTCCATGGAACACATGCAGGTTGTGGCCACCAAACCAGGATTCCACCACCTCTATAACTGTGTCTTTCAACAGTGTTGGATTGATGGTATCTAGTGCGCTGTTCCCTCCAGATCAGTAGACGCCCTGAATCACTCTCCATTGTAAATCTGACTCGTCTGTGAACAGCACAGAAGCCCATTGTTGCTGCGTCCAAGAAACATGTTCTCTTGCCCAGCATAAGCGGTTCCTTCGCTGTCGTCCGTTGAGGGAACGCACACAACTGGTCTTCTTGCATACAGACCTGCATTGTGAAGACGATTTCGCACCGTAGTAGCGGAGATTCTTCTTCCTGATGCTTGAAAGTGGTCTGCAACGAGCTGCGGCACAGTAGTGGTTCTTCTCCTTCGTGCCGAAAGAGCTAGAAAACGGTCTTTGCAGGTGTTGTAGCTCGTGGTCGGCCTGGAACAGGTCTTCTGACACAGAATCTTCGGATTGGTATTGATCCCAAAGTCGCTGAACAACACTACGAGACACATTGAGACGTCTAGCAGCATCAGCCTGCGACAATCCCATTTCCATTCATCCAACTGCCCGCCACCTTAACGAATTGGGTAAACGACGTCCTGAGACA